TCTACCGCTCGTGAAGGGTGCACGCGTTGGAACCAGACTGGTTTTAGACCTGCTCCGGGTTGTATGGACCACATCTTTATTCGTCGTCAAATCCTAGATCATACACACTCTTTTCGTAGACCCACCATTTCTATCTTCCTCGACCTGAAAGCGGCTTTCGACTCAGTCAACCGCTCTAAACTCTGGCGCTGCCTTTCCCTGAAGGGGTGCCCGAGAAGTTTATTTCAATATTACAATCCCTCTACAATAATAGCCGAAGCCGAGTCCGAGCTTACGGCGCTTTTTCACCCGAGTTCACCACGGAAAGTGGTGTTCGTCAGGGTTGCCCTCTCTGTCCTTTTCTATTTAACTTTGTCATAGATTTAATTCTTGAAACAGCCCTATCCTCGTGCAAGGATAGCGGTATCGATTTGCCTCCGGGTGATAGACTGTCCGATCTAGAGTATGCAGACGACATTGTGCTACTAAGTGAAGATCCAGGTAAGTTGCAAGCTTTTCTGGATAGGTTGAGTGCTAGTGTTGCCATGTTCGCTATGCGTTTTGCACGTTCAAAGTGTAAAATGTTGCTCCAAGATTCGGTTGGCCCAGTATCCAGCCTCATCCTGACCGGGAAAGTTGTAGAGAAAGTAGACAAATTTTGCTATCTGGGTAGCTATATCTCACATGGCGGACGCATCACAGATGAAGTGTCGGTGCGCACACAGTAAGCTCGGTCGGCATTTGCCAACTTGAGACGTCTGTGGCGCCGTCGCGACATTCGGTTGTCTGTGAAGGATTGAGTATATGCTTCAGCAGTTCGGCCAATTCTGCTTTACGGCGCAGAGACTTGGCCAATACGGGAACAGGACAAAAATAGATTGTCGGTGTTCGAACACTGTTGTCTACGTAGCATTGCACGAGTCCGGACGAGCAATGCTGAGGTTAGGCGTAGAGTTTTAGGTGATCGCGATCGTCCACTGGAACAGGGAGTCGAATTCCATAGATTACGCTGGTTGGGACATTTGCTACGCATGTCACCAGATAGGTTGCCACGGCGAGCGATGCTTGCCGAGGCAGGTAGCGGTTGAAAAAAATGAAGGGCGTTCAAGCTAAGACCTGGCATGAGGGTATGAAAACCCTGACCAGGAGACTTGCTCCCTGGCTGGGGACCTAGAGATCATGGTCATCGATGGTTAGAGACATTGAGCGATTTGGCTGGGTGTCGCAAACAGTGGCGCTCATGCATCTACTCATTATTCTTGTAACTTCATTCTATGAAAATGTGCTATCTTCCACCTAAATCTGCTCTCTCATCATTCTGCTGTTTTATCCAAATGAGTGACGAAAGACAGCAACCAAAACCGGCGCACGAAAGTGCGTGGTTAATGGTTGTTGGAACTGAACTGAACTGAACAGCAAGTAAATAAACAGAACGTCATGCGCACGTGTCAGGTCAATGCATCGGTTAGCTACCTTTCAGTCGATACGTAAAGGCACACAGGTTCACACAGTACGGCACCACAATCACCTGTTAGACCCGTATCAAATTGTACGGAGAAAATGAGCACAGGTGCACGGACAGCATTCCATGCTGAATCAAGTAAACAAAAAATTGGATGAAAAAAATTCTTTGTCTGACATCGCATCTGAAACCGGTGTGTATGCAGAAAAAAGGCAGGCAGCGATTTTACAAAGGTGCAGGCAATGTGCACATGTATCAGCATGTGTGTGACTGCTAGAAGTGCGCTTGATTGCAGACTGAAATGATTCTGACACGAAACAACTGACACCACCCTCCATCTGGGAGATAAACTAGAATGTTGCAATTGTTGCGATATTGGATTTCAAATTACAGACCTTTTACGCGAACTGCATTCCGCAAAGGGATCAAGAGCTGAATCAGAAACGTTTTGGCACCAGTCACATAACGCGGGGCTGCATACGTTCAGTGGCGTGCATGAGTACACCTCGATGCGTTTGTCTTACTAGAAACGGTGTCTGCACGCCGTCTGATCACACATTCCGAACTGTTTGCGGTTACGGAGATGCTGAAGTTAAATCCACACGTTATCTCTCTGGATTTCTCACCATACTATCTCGTAGACAAAGTTGGACCAGACCAGGTGATCGTGTGTGCATGTGGCAACTCAATAAAAGACAACTGACTCAAAATAAATCAGTGTACTTTCATGAAAGTTTAGTAGGAAATTCCAGGTACTGATGAGTATGACAACCAAACAAATGTCCAACGATCCACCCGATACATGAGTGAACACGGTTCGGTTAAAATGCAGTCGAACAGACTAAATTCTGCGAAACAAAAGGATGCTCTGTGGGAATCGGGCATTGGGACATGAGAGCAACCTGAATGTTAATCCGATCGAACATGTGAACTAGTGAATGCGGTTAGAGAAGTATATCTAGCTCTGTTCATTATCTGTCGCCACCTCAGACTAGACGCCTTGTGATCTGGCAAAAAGGACAAATGTCAATGGTGGGATGAAATCGTAAAAAGAGATTGGAACAGCAACCAACTTTAGCAGCACAGGAAACCTCTTTCGTTTCATAAGATCATGTAAAGCATTATCCGTCACAGGCTTCAGTAACAAATAGCAGAGTGTATCAGAATTTCGTGGATGAAACAGGCCCAGAACCAAAATATTGAGACAGACGCCATGAACTCCGGAATTCGATTGTGGCTGGATAAAGAACCGTTCGCATATGTAGCCTGATTTAGGCACACTGGCTCCACTATAGTGTCCATCGGTTAAGCCAACGACTTATTCCAACTATGCATTGATGGTACCAGAAAGATGTTTGCACAGTTGAAGAACACGCTATAGATTTGATAACCACAATACAAATATGCTTGGCATTAGTCCACCTTGTCCAATTGTACGCCTAAGAGTTGGATCATCAACGATCAAAGTTCTTCAGTGGATGAGGAGAACATTGGTCCCGGAGAAGTGCGAGTACCCGGATCAAAATTGAGACCGCGGAATGTCTGATTTTCTGAATAACTGATTGAAGATTAGAACAACTCAAAACGTAGTACTACTGTCACCAGCTCCTTCATTCTTCCTCTCACATGGAAGGAAGAGCAGAAAAGTCACGATGGAAATCCCGCGAGGGAGTAAACACGCACTGGACGTCAGTGAAAATTTACGTCGAGTTCAAAGGCGAATCCATTCAACTCACGCCGCTTAAGTCTCGAACATGTGTACATGTGCACGTCCATATCCTCACGTTGTTCTTATCACAAGTAGGGGAAAAATTCAAAGAAGGCCGACTACTGATTCACGAACAAACCGCCGACAATGAAGCTTGCAACATATGCGTTTCCGATGACTTCATTTATGAATGCTGATTATATGAAACTGACGTGCACATGGGTTTATAGTAAGAAGACAAAATCAAAGTTGCTGTAATGAAAAAATAAGCCGAATGAGTAGTGCTTTAGATGCCTGACTGAGCATAAAGTGAAAATACAAAAAACCTCGATTACGTACACAGAATATTTGGATTTTGGATAAAATAAACCCAAATTTGGTTGCTGCACATACCAGAGATGATCACGCGGTGAAGCTAATTCAGCGAACTGACGACGTAGATGAGCGACCCATAAGGATGGGGTCATTTGGCCTGTATCCACTTCTGTCCGATCAATACGCATCGGATTGGTGAGTTGGACGAAGCTGGCTGCTCTAGGCAAATTAGCTGACGACCGAGTCCGTTTAAACAGTCCCGGAGGAGTTGGAATTTCTTTTGGCTGAGGTTGACGCCATGGTCGGAGACCGTGAAAACGCGCGAAAAATTCGAAGGGCCCCGGCAGCGCGGCAAGCGCGCATGAAGCAGATGTCATACCAGAAGCCGCAGCAGGTGAATAAGGTTTTGGTTCATTGGAGACTTTGTCGTCCGCATCCGGTACGATTGTATCATCGGTAGTTTCGTTTTCCTCTATACTTGACTGGTCCAGAGTGGATCTGGCCGATTCGAACATTGAGGATCGAAGCATCATAGAACGTCTGCAAGAGGTCGTGCTAGTTGGAGAACTACCAGGATTCACGCTAGTAGGAGAACAAGGCTCATCTGCATTGGCCACAGGCTCGTCCTCATAGAAGACGATCAAAGCGCAGCAGAGCACGTTGGCGGCCAAACTGAACTTTGGATCGGCAATTTGAGAGGCTCCTGGATGTGCAGACGTGTTATCAGCTGCCCTTGAATAGGGATCTGAATGACCAGTTGTAATCACAAGGAGAGAGAGAAATGTGGCAGCATTATTAAACCCGTTTCATCATCATTGATAGCACGCATATTATGTCATGGAGGGAGAAAACTCAGTAGCTGGGCGCCTAAGAGGGGGCAAGGCAGATGTGAACCTAGTGGTATACAGACCGGCTGTAAATTGTAATCAAATGAGAGCATGAACAAATCTTTTCGGCCTTCAGCTTCATTTACCTTCCGTAAATGTCAGCCTGTTATTACATGTTCCTCCTAACTGAAAATGAATAGCAATCGAATCAAGGCACTTCATCTTTCGGTGGTATTTGGTCCCATCGATTGAGAGACAGCTGATGAAAATTTTGTGTGAATGAAATCTATAGGTTACTGGGCATTCACACTTGTACAGTCTTATTACCACCAAATATGCAGTCATAATTGTTTGACCGCAAAATTGTGTGGGCGCGTAAGTGATGCATTATTATTATTATCATTATCATTATTATTATTATTATTATTATTATTATCATTATTGCGTGGGAATGAACATTCTACGGACATTGTATAATAAGGCTCAACAGTCGTATGGATTGATGATGACCTTTAGATAGTGGACACGGAAAATTGAAAACCGTGAAAGTTAGAATTCAGTGTAACTGTTCCTGGGCGGTTCAGCAAAGGCAGTAAATAATGGCTTGTCGAACGTACTATATTCGACCATCCGTTTGGAGTGAATACAGTGACACCACAACAGACTAAGTATTGCAATCAGAATCATCCTAAATGCCCCTATATATGCAAACAAGTACTGAAAACGAAAGAGAAAACGTATGACCAGGTTTTCATGTCATGAATATTTTGTGGTCGTATGCCACTGAAAGAACAGTAAATGGTTGGCGTAATAAGCATATATACGCGCAACCCGCATATATCGGTCACTAGGTCGAAGGATGATGATCCTACAGCCTCCCATAGAGTCGCCATCCATAGTATTTGCAGAATTACAAAATTGTCAAGGAAACAAATTGGAAACAAGAATATACACAAAGAATTCACACGCTTTGTTTGCTGTTAGAGCGCTAGACGCCTCGAAAAAGAGATGATAAATGCGAGTGGATAATACGGACACTCAACTGCATGCATGTATGTATAGAAAGACAGCAGTTTTTCCGCTACTTCAAGCTACTACGTGGGTCCCATTAAAACATATTTTTAACTGAATTCAACGGAAGCGCGCAATGACATTTACATAAGGCACTGGGGAACACTTATGGGTGTTTACGCAAAAAGAATTCAGAGCACCCTGACGGAAGAGAACGAAATCACAATCTACCGTTAAACAAGATTGGAGTAGTCACGAATATATTGGTGCAAACTCTGCGCGGTTTGTTTTGGGCTGATGAAACGGTTTCAATCAGCTCAACCATTGACCTTGCGCTTTCGTGCAGCGGCTCCAGTTGTTACTTTTAGGCTACCCATTGCGACAAACGAGTTCAGAGAAGACTGGGGTGTTGGAATCAGTGTCCATGTTAACACGGAGAAGCCTAATTGAACGTCAGAAGAACAAGAATGGCGAAATTCGGCACTCCTGGCGAACACCGCTGCTGGTGACGAACGAAGTACGCATTTCATTACGAACCGGATCTGGACCAGAGGTACGGAAGAACAAAAACCTCAGCATATTCAAATTCTTCCATTGCGAATATGCTAATCCTTAAGGGATTCGCGGTCAACAGAATCGAGGGGTTCTTTCAAATATAGAACCACGAGAACCGTTGATCGACGGTGTGTACCACGCAGCTCAAGGACCCGACACAAAGTTAATCTTTCATCAATAGATTTATATGCAGGCCGGAATCCAGGTTGCTGTTCACGAACGTCTATCTCCCTTAAAGGAGTCAAACGATGAAGGCTAACACTGGTGACGACTGAGACCAAACTTATCCCACGTTGGTTTTCACAACCGTTGCGAGATCCCTTCTTGAAAATTAGAACGACCAGCGATTGGCCCTAGGATAAAGGAATGTGCTCATGCGACGAAGTGTTGTGCAGTTAGTAATAGAGCTTACGTCGCGATTATAACCCCCCTCCCGGACCCGCGTCCTGCTACCTATCCTCGCTTCACAGCAAGATGGAACTTCTGCTTGTATCGAGGTATCGCACGACACTGCCCACGGAGCCTCAGTTGCAGATTAGGTACTTTAGCTAGCGCTAGGCCAGCGGAACTGTTCGTTGAAGTGCTCCACCGTCCGATCAAGTCGTTGCTCTCTACTGTGAATAACCCGTCCACTTTAATACAGCATGTTTCACTCACTGCGGTTCGCTGAAGTCCTGCAATGCGCATCAGTCGAAACAGTCTTTGACTATGTAGCTACTATTTCCGTTCCGTTAGCTATTGTTATCCACCATTCTATTGGTCCTTCTTAGGCTGACGTTGCAGGCGCCACCTTATCATTTAAGGGCAACTGTGGCGTATGAATCGCGTTTTACGAAGGTTAAATCTGGTTAGCTAGATACCTAGTCACAATAAACTGCAGTTTGCACATCTTGCAGGATTACCTTATGACGCTCTCGACGTGGTCTAACTGACTGGATCGCGTCCGTTATGAAATCTTGTGTATCAGTTAAGTTACGAGGAGGTTTGTGCTATGATTAGTTTGAAAAATTCTAGATAAGACCGAGTGTTAAAAGGGCACTTTATTCCCGTGAAATAATGCGATAGCAAAAGGTAGAGCGAGTGAAATAGGCTGACAGCAATACAGTGAATCAAACATTCCCAACTGTCTATGTTTCATCACGATGCGACCCCAATCGGTAAAAATAGAGTGAGTAACTGTTGCAAAATCTGGCTGAGTTCAATCACATTTTTGTTCCAGTAAGTTTCAAAAACTGACCATTTCCCTGGAATTCACAGCCTAGTACGAAAGTAACTTAATTTGTTGCCGTTGAAACATGTCTCACTGATATGATCATCATCAATAACCTGTTAGCAGATGGCGCGGGTTTATTATGAAAAACTATATCATATTTTAGTTCAAACGGTACGCTATCAAGACGGGTCACAGTGGTGTGAAGTGCCGGACCCTACTGATTGGTCTCACTTGAGTGTTTGCCGGTAAGTGCACGCTCAACAGACGATATGAGAATCGCTTTTCAGGCTTCACAGCTTGACACGACTATCACGAAAGATGTGGTCACATTTGGATTTTATCGAGCGAACCCCGTTGTAGCGAGCACAATACCACTCAGAGATCAACTACGACAGTCGTCGTTCAGCATAAAAGTCACGGAAAGATTAATAACACAGGTTCAGTTACAATATGCGTAAACTTCTTAACAGCACGTATGTTCTGCATCTATGAACGTGATTTGCGAACGGGTTTGTGCGTGAATAAAGACCTCCTAGATTAACGGAAACTCCGACAAAAGTTCGTTATAAATGAAGAAGTGGATACAACTAGCTCGAAACTTTACGATTTACATATTCGGAGTTGCATTTTTTAGTTTTAGTTTTTACAACCATTAACTATTCACTTTCGTGCTCCGGTTTTGGTTGCTGTCTTTTGGTTGCCCATTTGGATAAAAGAGCGAAATGAAGAGTGGAATGTCGAAGCAAATTCAAGCGGAAGATGAGTAATACATATAGAGTGGTGTTAGGAAAATAACGAGTGGATGCACGAGCGCCACTGTTTGCGACACAGCCATATCACTCAGTGTAGCTAACCATCGGTGACCATCATCCCGAGGTCCCCAGCCGGAGTTGCATAGCAAAGTACTCAAAGCACAGAATTGTAACACCTTTCAACCTTTTTGCTTCCTTTAGTCAAAGATTTTGTAATCAATTTCCGAGAAGCAGGAAGCGGTCAATCGGATGACCGGTTTAGTATACTAAGAAATCGAGACGTTAGACCACAGGCGTGGAGTGATAGGATGACCAAATAGACCACCGTGTTGAGTTCAATTAACTTTAACATACTGTATTCAAATGTTATCAAATACAGATTACACAAATCGATAAACCGGTTATTCTGTCCAAACATTCCATGTGGGGTCCAATTACAAGTGGTCTACCGCTCAATAATAATGCAGTGCACATGGAATCACTGAGAACTTGTAGTGACAAAGAAAACTTTTGAATAAGGCATTATCTTCATTGGTAAGATAAACTGGAAATTAAGACTGTCTCCATAGGGAATTCCAGTTGAAATCCGTCCTTAACGATGTGTGGTAGAAATACATCAACTAGGAAAATATATTCCGCCCACTTAGGAAAGCGAAACAAATCAATGAACACAAGGGTGGGGAAAAACAAGCGATGCAACTTGAAAGAGTCCATTGCGTCCCGCGACCAGTATCATGCATAATAGATTAGATGATCATTATTCCTCATATTATCAGCTGTCTTGGAGACTGGAACACACATTGCAACAATGAAATGCACAGATTTATTTTTGGTGGTTTGTGTATTGAGCGATTGACCGTAACTGACAGGATAAAGATGAATAAGATTGGCCGCTATTTGGGGCAGGTGAGTATAATGCAATCGGTCATCTAAACTGAGAGGGGGGACATAATAAAACGAAGCTGACTTGTTCATGAGATTCAACCAGATGCTGCTAGTGTCCGCCTATGTGTTGCCTAAAATAATGGCCTAGGATAGAGAGAAATGGTGATCAGAATAGCAGGTCACATATAGGCAGCTAGACGAGTTTTGCTAAACAAATGTACTAGGTCAGGATGCTGTTATGGAAATGACAGAGAATATCGCAAGAGCAGCAAGCATAGTGAAATTCAGTCAGAGCGTAAAACACCTGTGCGTGTACAATGATGCAAGAAGAAATGAGACTTTCTTACAATACAATACAATACAAGATCTGACGGAATAACATATTTGAATATTATCATAATGATGACTCTTAACTGTGAAGTAGGACACGTTGAAACAATTAATAGGATGACGTTTCGAAACGCAGATGAATTTCGGTTCATTTTTTTAGTAAACGGTAT